TGTGGATTTTGAATTTTATTAGTTACATGTGTTTTTTAAGGTAACTAATAAATAGTGATTTAAATAAAGCATTTAGCTTGAAAGAGAGAGAGGAAAGAATTGCGTAAATTGGATATGGATTTTGAATATAATTGTTAAATGTATTTTTAAGTAACTAATATATGGGATTTATCTAAAATATATATATATTATAAAAGAGTGGAAAGATTTGTACGATATTATTTAGGTAGAAGGATGTTATTTATTTCTTAAATTATTTATTTATTAATTTATTTGAATGCCTGTTTTTTTTTATTTATTTAACTTGTTTTTCTTTAACTATTTATTTTAAAAATTATTTTCTTATAAGTGATATGCTCCCTTACTTAATAATTTCTTTAAATATTTCCTTCTTTAGTTATTTATTTATTTAGTTATTTCATTCTTTACTGATTCCTTTCTTTAGTATTTATTTATTTACTGATACCTTTCTTTAGTTATTTATTAATGTACTTATATTTCTTGACTTATTTATTTTTTGGCTGCTTTCTTGATTTAGTTATTTATTCTCTTATCTATTGATTACTTTACTTAGATATTTCTCTGGTTATATGTTTCTTAAATTATTTTATTATTATTTTTGATTTAGTTCATTCTCTATTTATTTCTTATAACATTTATTTGTTGATCTATTTGCCTATATATTTATTTATTTGTTTTTTTACTTATTTTCCTAACTAATTAAATCTTAAATTACTTACATACTGATTTCTTTACTTATTTATTTTTCAAAATATTTAATAATTAATTTCCCTTCTATTTCATAGAATCACTAAACAACCCATCTACTTTTTAGTGTAAACCTGGAATAGGAACGCATTTATGATTTGCTTTATGCATTGACAGGTTCCCATTCACCGCCTCCTTTCTATTTGTCCACCTCCCTGTTCCCAAGGAATCCCTTCACCATCAGAATTCCTCCTCATGATGCACTGGCTGAGCTTGAACTGGATTTTTAATTGGCCTAGTCCATTGAGTGCTCCATTTGCCAGTACCAACACCACTAGCACCCTGACCATCTGTTGTCCAATGGACAAGGTGAGTGTGTGTCCAGGGTGAGGAGGAGGAGCCGGCTGGTCAGATGCCCAACGATAATGGACAGCTGAGATTTGCACTCGGAGATAGCCGGCGTAACTGTGGAAACAAGTTTGAATTGCAAATGAGCTGAATTGCAGATGAACTGGGAATTTTCCCCCGAATTGCTTTTGCTGTTTGAAGAACTAAATGGTACTAAATAGGAGGCGTGAAAATTCTTACCAGGAAAAGCCATCGAAGTGTGGTTTAGTTTGTTTTAGAGATATACACTGAATTCTATTTGTGAAAAATGTTTAGTGAAAATGTTGCCCAAGTGGCATAAAATAAATTGAAATAAAAACTGTCAAGTTTCGTATTTTATTTAAGGGTTTAAGATTTAAAGGAATTTTATAAAGAGAAAATTTTTTAAAGAATAATATTATATAAATTAGACTGTTACTTGTTTAAATATCATTAAGATTGTTAAAAATCAATAATAAATGCTTTTTTTGGTTTAAATATTTTTAAATATCTGACAATCTTATTTCTCTTTTATTTATTTGTTTATTACCTCTTTAATTTATATTTTAAGGAGAATATGAATAAAAGCTCTTATCAACTTTTGTATTTTATTTTAGGATAAGGATGGGAAAACTTTATTAAATAATATTGTGTACTCTAATAGGAATGGATTGAGTAAGTAGAAAATATTTATCTTTTACATAATATTGTATTGTACTTATTATTTAAATTATATTTAAAAAAAAAAAATTTTATAGTTATAAATAAAAGTCTTTACTTTTATTTTTATAGTTCTTCCCCCAATTATGTCCTTAAATGTTGTTGTTATCTTTACTTCTCTCCCATCTCCGTTACACTTAATTTCCCATCGACCATTGACAAATTTCCCACTCCCTGAAAACGGATGAGTAAGCAAAAAAAAAACAAGATAAAAATGGAAATTAAAATAAACAGCGAGACACCACAATTAAAATGAAAATCAACGAAAAGGGAAAACTTTTTGTCATACATACACTCTGTGTGTATAAAGAGCACACACACACACACACACACACACACACACAGCAATATCTTAATCCACACAGACAGACAGAACAATACCAGACTAACCTATTGTAAAGTGGGGGAAATATAAAGCTCAACGGCAAATATGTATATTGCTTACATAGCGATGTATGTACATCCATACATATGTATATGTATATGATGCATACATACATAAGTACATCCCTGTTCGCATGCACTGGCGACAAATTTTCCAAAATGGCGTCGACAATGACTAACCGGCCAACTCCAACTCCGTTGCCATTTCCCTCGATCCTCATTTCCACCAGCTCCCAATACCAAAAAAAAAAAAGAAAATCAGGGGGGAGGTTCCTTTTGTCTGAGCTCGTGGAACTCCAGAGAACTCCAGGTCAATGATACCAAAAGTTAAACACCCCCTAGAACTCCCTTCCTACACAACTCCCCCTCTCTGTCTGCGTCGCACTTGAACAATTTTCACAAAAACAAAAAAAAAAAGAAAACAAAATGCAGGCAAAATATATATACAAAAAAAAAAAAAGAAAAATAAAGGAAAGACTCAACTCGAAAGGAGAGAACGAAAACAAAAAGCGACGGGCCGCACCCTGGGGCTAAAAAGTGAGGAGTGGAGCTGCTTGGCGGCGTGGTTGGAGAGGGGGCAGGGTTGCATGCAACGTCAGTGTCAAGTTTACGCTAGGTTCACCACCTTCTCTCACCCAAAAAACAAACCACCTCCTGGCCGCCCCTTTTCCACACACAACTCCATTTTCAATGGCAGCAGCAGCAGCAGCACAAAAGCACTTTTATCTTTTATACGTTCAATTTGTGCAGTGAAAAGCGAGCGGGAAAAGCGGTGACAACAATGGGGACGGGGGCCAAGGGGTTCGATACTACACGGGGACAAAAAAGGGGAATTAAATTTCATACAAACATTTTGTGAAAAGGATCTTGGACAAGCAATTATTATTTATAATTCTAGGTTATATAAATACTAGTATTCTGTCTATTGTTGTCTTAATTAGTACTAGAATTGCTTGGGAATTTTAGGGAACATAAAATAAAAATGTATCTACCTATTTTTGTTAAATTAAATACATGTAAATATTATTACATTTATTATAATATATTATCTTATAACCTATATAGGTTTTTACAAATTTTGTAATAAAATTGTATTTAATAAGTTATAGAACTCATTTGTTATTACTAATTATTTAAAAAATAAATATTATTTTAATAAATAAATGTACTATTTATAATTGAACTTTTTATATCCTTACAAGGGAATTATAATTTAAGTCAGAAGCTTGTAACGCTGTGAAGGAGTATTATTGATCAGCCTCAAAAGCCTAGTCGATCTAGCCACCTCTGGCGGGAATACAAATTTGATCAATTTTTCAAAAATTTTATAGAAGGTTAGATTGTAAGAATTTTAAAAATTTACAAGAATTTTATTTTTTTTCAATTTTAAAATTGAGAAATCACATTTATTATTCTACTAAAAACTAACATAGAAATTCTTTCCGAATTAAAATTAATTAATTGTTGGCTTAGTTATGAGATTTAAAAAAATGTCATTTGTCGATAAAATGATCATATTAAAATATCGATAAATCTCAAAGTATTCAAATATATTTGAGGCTTAAATATGATTGATTCCCGATACGATCCAACTGTTCTAATGCAAAATCCAAGGGTATATAAGCTTCGGCTTTCCAAAGTAAGCTTTCTTTTCCGTTTATAACTTTTAAAAATGATATATTTCTGTATAACGCTATTCGAAATCAATTAATAATTAAAATTAACTATTTTTAGTTCTCTTGGAATATTAATTTATTAAAGCATTTTAAAGGACACTTTTTTTTTAATGTGTTCCCAAAAAGATTGGGTGGCGATGGGGTGGGGGCATGCGAATGCGGCACCTAGAGGCCAAAGGCACCCACCAGCTCCATGTCCCCCACAAAACAACAAAACAAACTTCACAACCATCTGCACTCATGCATCATTTATTCCGTCTTCCTCACTCCCACTCTCTATCTCTATCCCTCTCTTTATCTGCATCTGCTTTCGTGTGCCTCTGCATGTGTGTGTGTGTATGTGTGCGTCTGTGTGCTGGAGCTGCAGCAACAACAACAACGGCAACTTGAACAACGCGGTGAAGGTCATTGCTACCAAAATTGTGTCTCCCTTTTGTCCTACTCTACTCTCGACTCGATTCGCTTCGTCTCACACACACACACACACACACATACCACACTCACTCGCACACTCACACACACTTGCAGACAGGAAAAGCTGTGTGTGTGTGTGAGTGAGGTATCCATCCATCCTAGTGGTATACTCCACATCCCGAAACATAACTTGAGCGAGGAATGGGAGATGAAAATGGAGACAGAGAGAGAGAGAGAGAGAGAGAGAGAGAGAGAGAGAGAGAGAGAGAGAGAGTGAAGAAAGACGAAAGGCAGAGAATGGAGGGAAAGGAGAAAAAAGAAAGAAGGGCGAAGAGGAGAACTGCAGTGGTCGTTCAGGGAGTTTTTCACTTGTCGTTTTTCTTCTCATTTTTTTCAGCTTGCAACATGCACGCTTTTCGCTGTTTTCGCCAGCTCTTTCCTTTTCGTCAATATTTTATAAGGCATGGGTTAAGCGGGTAACAAAGTTGCCAGAAAAATATTGTTAAATTAAAATAAATCAATATATAATATGATTTATATTAGCAAAAAATGTTAACTACTAAACCTTGCAAATAAAAGTATTGCATACTTTTCAGAGAAAAATGGTAAACATTTTTAGGAGCTGAATTTTCATATGCCTTGGTTTAAAATTGGCTTAAAATAAAATAAAAATCATATAGATATCGAAAATAAAATATAATTAGATTCTAGTATGCCTTGACTTCTTTTTAACTGAGATTGTTGATCTGTAAACCCAACATTGAATAATTTCAGTTGTGCTCTACGGGTGCTACAGTTAGGTACAGTTTTTATTTAAGTAACTTTATCTGCAGTGTGAAAACTAATACGGAATTTTTGGTTTTGCTCTTTTTTTTCAGAAAGTACGATAAAAAATTTGTGTTTTTAAAAGAATTCCTAAGGTGATGGAGGTCTCTGGTCAGCGCCTATACTATGAGTGGCAGAAGTGGCAGGCTTTTAAGGATCGTCCTGTTGGATTTAAAGCCGAGCCGTCGACCTTTTTAAATGGTTCATTCAATCTGTACCAGTGGAAGTGCTTGATTACTGGCCCAGAGTCATCGCCATGGGAGGGAGGCAAGTACACGGTGATCATGAGTTTTCCGCCCGAATTCCCGAAAATTCCACCCAAATGCCGGATCTTTCCGCCTATATTCCATCCGAATGTGTCTGACACGGGCGATGTTTATATTCCCGATCTGGCCGAGGATATGTGTTGGTCTCCGGATTTTACCATTGGACAGATCCTGATGCGCATTCAGAAAATTTTGGGTAAGCCGAGTCTCTTTGAAGGTATTAACACGGATGCCATCAATTTGTATGTACTGGATTTTAATAAGTACGAGAGAATAGCACGTAATACCGCAATGGCAAGGGCACAAGAAGATGAATTTGGAAATAGAGATGATGATGAAAATGAAGAAAATGATATAGAAGATGAAGAAGTAGATGAAGAAGAGGAAGAAGATGATGAAGATGAAGAAGGAGAAGATGAAGGAGAAGATGAAAAAGATGAAGACGAAGAAGATGAAGACGATGATGAAGATTAAAAGAAAAATTAGCAAATAACAAAAAAAAAACAAGCATAAAAACAATTTTCTCAACACTGACACAATATTCTTGTGACTTATAAAAACTCTTTCAAAATTGTCTTACACTTTACAGTAATTATAAATAACTGCTTTGAGAAATACAGATATACCTTAATTCTAACCAAGTGGCAACCCTGTCGTGTCGCCACTTTGCTTGCGATTACAAAATCGCAACTGACTTCCCCCCCCCATCACAAAAAAAAAAAACTCTACAATTGCAAACTCGTTCGCTTTTGCGCCCCTCGCACCACCCACCCACCCCCTCTCGCTCTGGCCGCAAACTGTGTCTGTGTCACTCAACCCACTAAACTAGCGTAAAATGCGACGATGACGACGACCACGACAATGCTAGGCAACGACCGAGCCACTGTTGTTTGAGTTCCTTTAGAACCTTTGATACTCTTTAATATGAGAGCCTGATAAACATTAAAAAATAATTTTATCTACTTACCATTTATTCATAAATTTTATTTATTTTAAGCAGTAGTTTTAGTACTTAATATATTTGTATTTATAATTTCTAACAGACTCAAGTATCAAGACAAAAAACCCTTGCTTTATAGGGTATTATAACACTCTTCACCGAATGTTTCCTATCTGGTTTTCTCTTTTGCTCACCAAGGCAGACATTGCACTGCTTATGCTATCTCTCTCTTTCTGTTGTGCAAGTTACTCAATTCACGTGCTGCAACCTCGTTGCCCCCCCTCAACCCCAACTCCATGATCCCATGGCGAGTGGCTCTCTTTTCTATTTCTCTTGCTTCGCGCTCTCAACGGAAGTTTGCTTTGCTGTTCTCCTAACTGTGTGTGTGTGAGTGTCAGTGTGTGTGTGTGTGTGTCTGTGCTGTGTGTTGGGTTCAATGTCTGGTGGTTGACCTACCCCTACCGCTTGCTTCTGCCCCAGGAGGAGTCGTCATCGTCGTCGTCGGTTCTTGGCTCCCGCTGCACTCTGCTCTCTCACCTTCTCCCGCTCTCCCCCCTTTGGCTTATTTGCACTTTTGTTGTTGACTCATTTGATGGGTCCCATCCCCTCCCCCACCAACACACACATACACTGCTTGGGTATTAGAAAGTGCCGCGCCCAGAAAAAGGACACCAACTCCAACTGCAACTTAACCTCACCTAACACCCACCGCCTCTTCCGTTCTGTGTGACAAGTGAAAACTAGAAAATTCTGCTGCTCACTAAAGTAAAAGTTGTCTTATCAATGCGTCTGGAGGTTGCCTTTGGGGGTGGTAATTTTGAGAGGGGGTTGGGGAAATGATTCGTTGCTGACAGCTCATTTGGCGTCATTGTGGCGAGCCAAGGGCCCCATAAAGATTGTAACCAGAAATTGCATAGTTTTAATAACAAATTCGAAGCTTTTTTGGCAACAATTGCATTGGACTTGACCAAGGGCATGGTTTTTTAGTTTTTTTTTGGTAAAAGAAAAACTTGAAAATCAGGAAAGAAGTTTAGATTTTCCTAACCAAGAGATAACACTTTCTAAAAAACACACTTAGTGAGCTTGGTTGCTTTGATCAAAGCAGGATAGCTTTCTCATTATTAACAAAACAAAAATCTATAATTTTTAAAAATCAATTTACAAGATTCTGGAAAATATATTCAAGTGAAAAACTACTTTTTTCTAGCTTTTTTTGCCTCTAATGCAACCAACTGGTTTTCCATTCCACTTGCAGCAGATTCAAGGCTAAAAGCCTGTTGGGTCATTGCCATTGCAAGTTTTCACCTCCCCCCCCTTTGCTTTGCTGGAAAAACTAGTTGCATTTTACCTGCAAGCGTTATATTTGCTTAGACAAATTTCCCGAGAACCGGCTGGGCGGGTTTTCCTTAGTCAGGCTTTTCTTCTTCTGCTTCTTCGTTCCAGAGAAAGTTCTGGAGCGGGAGAGTGTGTGTGTGAGTGTGTGTGTGTGTGCGCTAATACCAGAGAAATGGAGAAAGTTGCAAAGTGGCAAAAGACACTTCAGGCGGCCTATTGTGCAACTCCCCGCATTTCCACTCCATTTCCGCAGTGGAAACTAGGTGAGGTGAGTCACAGTTTGCAGGTAGCAGGTTGCAGGTTGCAACATGCAACTTGCAACCCCCTTGTTTTTTTGTGCTGACAGCGGGAGTTTTACAAAGGTGGGTGCTTTCAATGACAAATTATCCCTTTTTCTTTACAAAAAAAATAACAGCTGGCAAGGGACTCACTTTTTGGCAACAGAAATTGAAAAATAAATAGGGAAAAAGGGGAAAAAGGTATGCTTCGAACAGGTGCACATTTTGCATGGCGAAAATATCTTTGTTTGATAGAGAGATATGTGGATAAAAAATTCTTACAAATTGAAAATTAATAGCAAAGAGTATAGAAGCAAAAATTTACAGCACTTAAAAATAAGAAAAATATATTGATAACTTTAATTAAAAGTTTACATACCCTTGCAGTTTGCAATTTAATTATAGGATCGAATCGGAAATCGATCATAACTAAGTTTTAAATATTCTCATTCTTTAAATCGATATTTATCGATATTTTTATAAAACAATTTTTTTCCACAAGTCCAAGTTTAAAAACTCATTAATCTGCATACTCAATTTAAAATGTAAAAATTTTGTACATCTTTGATAATTTTAACGATAATCCCTTGAAGAAAATATAATACAAAATTGGTTAATATATATGATTTATAGGGTCGGTTCTAACTAAAATTATAACACCCTGAAAGGGTATACAAATTGGGTTTGTTTTTTGTCAAAAAGTTGTGAATTTTACTTGGAAAGTTATTTAAAATATTAATGCCTATAAATTTATATTTTAAACCTTTCGAATAGCTGACCTACAGTTTATAAATATCTGAAAAATATCTTGCTTAACATATTTGTTAATTGCATTTGTAAAATTTTTCACCTCCCCTTTGATTGCAGAGGCTTTTTATGTGCATGGTTTTTGTGCTTCAAAACTCGAGTGCTATCCCTTGTGAAAAGCTTTTCAACCCTTTCTTTTTGTGGAATTTAACGCCAATCCTACAAACATTCAGCATGGTTTATTGACCTCCAATGCTGCACCGCATTGCGTCACCGTCTCATCTGGTCCGCCCTTATCACGCAACGGGCATCAAAAGTGTCAGCAAAATTTTACACAGGGAGAAAAGTATATATATCACCATGCTACTTTTAATATTCAAAAAAATCAATATATGCAAAATAATATTTTACACTATTTTTACAAAGTTAATAGATTTTAAAAGAATGTTACTTTAGTAATTATTAAATTGGTTTATGGTTATAAGTAATTTCTATAATGCGTTCTTGATTATCCATTTATTAATTATTACATATTAATGTACTACTTTGTACTATTTTTTATTAAAAACTTTTCGGGCATATTCTTGAGGGAAATGTATCTTTTTTGTTTTATTTTCCTTATATGTGGGCTAATTTTTTTCAGTGCTGCCTTAACCCTGTACACCTCCCTTAACCCGTTGCAGTCTTCTGTTTGCTTGTGCAACATTACAAATTAGCGAAAGTTTTGGTTTGAGGAAGAAGGCCAAATTGTCTGGACTCAGTCGTGGTTGTTTGTTTGTTTTGTATTTTGTTTTTTTTTTTTTATCATGTGGGTGTTGTCCCAAAGGGGGTTTGCTTCACAACAGGGGCATAATAACTGTAATCTACATCAGTTTTGCCCAGTTTGCTTGATGTTTTTGGCCAAATAAGTGGCCATAAAATGCAGTCATCAGCAAAACCAAACCGCAGTTAATAAGGTCTCGTATAAAATAAGTGTTTTCAGACAGTAAACAATAAAGAAATCGATGCCTCGGAATTTAATTAAATAAATGTTATATATTTTATGTTCAATAGAATTCAGAAACTTAAAATTTCTTTAAGATTTATATTTAATAAAATTATTATAAACAAGATTATCTTGGAAATCAGCAAAAATTATGATGAAATCTTTTAAAGAGCGTAGCAAGATATTGCATTAGTTCACTCTTCTTCTCTTATTGTTCTCTTAATTTCTTTTGGCTTTGGTCGAAAGCAAAAGCTTTTCCACATCATTTTGTATAACACTCTTAACCGAAATATAAAATAAACTGGGTAAGTCTGATTAATATAGGACTAAAAGGAGGGTTACTTTTTTTTAACTTGGCTTATCTATTTACAGCTCACACTAATACCGAACTCGGAATTACTTAGGCCACGATTGAACAAGTTATGTACATAAAACATGAGATGAGAGAAATAAATACTAAATAAATAAATAATACAAAATAACTTTAAAACCCATTAAGCCTATCGAAAAAGTCTAACTTAGAGTATAATATTGTGCTCTATTATTATTTCTTATCAGTTTTCTTGATTATTTATGTTTTCTTATTCCAGAGAATTTTATGTCTGAGGGCAATCTCTCATTTCGTCTCAGAAAAATACACTTGCAAAAGTTGCCTCGCTATCAGATTAATGTTTGTAAATATATATAATGTAATTAATAGAAAAAGGTAGAGAATATTTAATCTTCATTTACATAAAAAGAAATAATATTCAGATAATCTGTTTAGATTTGATCAAACCTTGAATACTTCATTTTGTTTAATGTTTATTAATTAATTAATAGCAAGGGTATTAGCTCGTTGGTTCGTTTAACTCCCTTTTGTTTTCTTATCTACTGAGCTCACAAGTGACACATAGAGAAGAAATTCGATAATGGAAATGGAATTAAAAATAAATATTTCGGACTTACCCATAGAAATACTCGATCTTCTCTTTGAATATTGTAATCCAAGCACATCCATAGAGGTAAAGAGTTCTCTCAGAGCTATTGCTCTTAGTTTATATTACAAATCACCTGAAATTAAAACAAAAATGCCTTATTAACTTCCTGAATTAACATTTTTAACAGGCTTTAAATATTTAACATTTGCATTGACAATTGTAAGTCCAAAAAGAAAATTGTAATGTTAAGAGTTTGGATATATAGTACTATTATAAAGTTTTTATTTCAATTTCAAAGAAGAATCTATGGTAGTTTATTCCTCAAATTTCCAGAATTTCGAAAACAAACATCATATTGAAATTAATAAAATCCATTTTCGCTTAGAGACCATCTCATACAACAAGTGAAAAAGCCAATATGCATTCTTTGTCTGACTAAAATAAGCAAATATTTCCCACTATCACGCACAGGGGAAAATATTTCAACGATTTGGCCCAGGTGACAATTCAGCCAGCAGCAGAGATATGACTAATGCCCCGGGCAGACCCTAAATCCGGCATGAACTTTGAACTTGTTGCCGAACTGTCATAGCCATCGGAATTACACACACACCTTTTCAGCCCGGAGTGCGTGTCCAGGTGCAAGGAACAAGGTTCAACAACATGGGCCAAAAATTCCAGGAGCTTACTCATCCGATGGGTTGGTTTTAAGGAACAATGATTCACCTTTGCCATCTGCAGGGGGGCATGATAAAAAAGGGCAGGCAAAACTTAAATCCAAAAAGGACTTTTTGAAATGTAAGATACCATGTAAAATATAAAAAATAATATACTCATATCTTTAGTCAAAACTTTTAATCATTCTAACCATTTCCCTCCAAAACCCACTTATAAATATTACTAAAACATTTGTTATTTGAATTTTTTTTAATAAACACGTAACTTTATTAAGTTGGGATTTGAAACATACGACAACTGCAAAGAAAATAATTAAATATTATATTATAAATATACATATATATATATCTTTATAAAAATATATATGTATATAAACCTTACCCAATGACGTAGCCAAACGATCTTACTAATTTCATCAAATAATAGCTCCAGGGGATCCTCCTCAGTTATACCATTTTCCTTTAAAGCACTCATTAGTTTTTCCACAAACTCCAGATCAAATTTAATTTTTCGTATCGGTACATCAAAGTATCGAAGTTTTTTAAACTTTCGAATCACTTCCAAAAGACTATCATTATCGAATTGAGATGGTCGGCTCTCAGCGGTTAATTTTTTCAAATCTTCGCCCTGTTTTAGAACCGATCTACAGATTAAACCTTCAATATAACACTTGTCGTACGCTATATCAAGGATCTTTAGCTTTGGACATCTGGGAAATTCCATTGAAATAGTAGAACACGACAGTTTGAAGTGCTCAAGAGCGGGAAATTCTGGAATTTCTTCAATTTCATCTGTCTCAGATATTACATGTACACATTTTACCGTCAGCCTGCGGAGTTTCTTTAGGGGAGCACAGGCCTTGAAAAGATTTAATGGCTTGAGATCTCGGGAATAAGGCGGAGACAAGTACAACTCTTCTATGTTCACAAATCTTTGTATCTCGTAAGCTGTGCAAAGAAAAGAGTATAATTTTCTTTTCAAATAATTAAAGGAGAGTACTCGACTTCGGGCGGTTCACAAAGCTTGCCAAAGGTGACCTCGAAATAATTTCATTTTTTAACTCACCTTCATTAAAAAGAAATGGAGACATTTTTAAGCTACTCAGTTGGAACAACTCTGGTATTTTGTGCATTATACCCGGACCTGTTCTCGAGGACTTATTAAAGAAATATCCAAAGCTCAGGCTTTTGATGGAATTTTTGGCCTTGTGTATCACGGCTAGAACAAGGTCACCATTATCAGAATACACTTGGAACCTGACCTTTTGCAAATTGGGGCAATACTCTGCCACTGCTTTGGCCATCTCAGCGCTCCAATAGCAACCCGGAGATCCGACATATTCCTCTACAGTCGAACCACAAAGTGAGAGTATCACAGGCCAGGCTTCGTTCGATGTATAGGAACTATCATACATGGCCTTCTTGTATATACGGCGACTATGATAGGCAAAAGCCTTGCCCAGATATTCACAGGTTTCGGCCAAGCTGAGCTTGTCGTTAGAGTAATGGCAGTCGGTGTAGTTTCTCCAATGGCTTGGTGACTTAAATGCCAGAGCTTTGAATATCAGATCGAGGACCTCGAAGGGTAAGTCGGTTAAAGTGCGCTGCGGCTCCACTGCCATTGTTCGTTGCGTGCCTCGAAGAGAGCTTGCCGAGAGCTTCGCGCCAACTGAGCAATTGCAGTGTCAGTGTGCGAAACCAGAAAGAGAGAGAGAGAGAGGAAGAGGAAGATGAAGAGATACAGCGACTAAGAGCGACTATGTTTAATACAAAGAGAGGGATGCATTTAATCTATATTGCATAAAGCTCTCTTTTTTTAGACTTGATTTGATTTTATTGCCATTTCTAACAAGTTTAAATTTTATAAATCAGTGCGCTAGTTATAATGAATCACAATATGTAATGGGTGCATAAGATATTCTTAGGGATTTACTAAAATTTCCCTCAGACAAATATTTTTTCCAAATTTACATCAGGCGGAGCTTTATTTAGATGACATTTTTTTACGAAGATGATGACAGTTTTCATCAGTGACTTTCTTTAAGAATTCTTATTTGGTGTTTCAATGAATTTTTAATATAATAATAATATACATATGTTCCTCTATTATTATATATATTATATATCATAAGACAATTTTATATATTTTTCCCAAAACCCACTAATAAGTATTAATTAAACATTTATTATTTGCATTTTTCTAAAAAACACGTAACTTTATTAAGTTAGGATTTGAAACATGAGACAACTGCAAAGAAAATTAAGTCTAATAAATATATGTCTTATTAACCAATGTATATATATTAACCTTACCCAATGACGTAGCCAATCTATTTTACTTATTTCATCAAATACCAACTCCAAGGGGTCCTCCTCAGTTATACCATTTTCCTTTAAAGCACTCATTAGTTTTCTCACAAACTCCAGATCAAACTTAATTTTTCGTATTGTTACATCAAGGTATCGAAGTTTCTTAAACTTTCGAATCACTTCCAAAAGACTATCATTATCGTATTGGGATGGTCGACTCTCTACAATCAATCTCTCCAAATCTTCGCCCTGTTTTAGAACCGATCTACAGACCAAACCTTCAATATAGCATTTGTCGTAAGCCAAATGAAGGATCTTGAGTTTGGGACAACTTGGAAATTCCATTGAAATAGTAGAACAGGACAGTTTGAAGTGCTCAAGAGCGGGAAATTCTGGAATTTCTTCAATTTCATCTGTCTCAGATATTACATGTATGCCAACTACCGTCAGAAGACGGAGTTTCTTCAGAGGGGCCAGGATCTTGAAAAGATTTAATGGTTTGGGATTTTCCATTTGGGAATAAGGTGCAGACAAGTATAATTCTTCTATGGTCACAAATCTTTGTATCTCGTAAGCTGTTCAAAAAAAAGTGTTAAGATTAAAGATAAAGAGAGTATAATTTCTTATTAAAATAATCAAACGAGAGCACTCGAGGGTCCTGTGACTTCGGGCGGTTCACGAAGCTTCCCGAAGGTGACCTCGTAATAATTTCATTTTTGAACTCACCTTCATCAACAAAAAATGGATCAATGTTTAAGTAACTTAGTTGGGACAATTCTGGAAATTTGTGCAATATATTTGGACCTATTCCCGAAGATTGGAACATGGCATATCCAAAGGACAGGCTTCTGATTGAGCTCTTGGCCTTGTGTAACACGGCTAGCACAAGGTCACCATTATCGGAGTACACTTGGAACTTGACCTTTTGCAAATTGGGGCAATACTCTGCCACCGCCTTGGCCACCTCAGCGCTCCAACAGCAACCCGGAGATCCGACATATTCCTCCACCGTTGAACCACAAAATGAGAGTATCACAGGCCAGGCGTTTTTCGATATATACGTGTAGGAACTATCATACATGGCCTTCTTGTATATACCGCGACTGTGATAGGCAAAAGCCTTGCCCAGATATTCACAGGTCTCGGCCAAGCTGAGCTTGTCGTTAGAGTAATGCAAGTCGGTGTAGCCCCAGTAGGTCTGCGGCTTACGGGCCAGAGCTTTGAATATCAGATCGAGGACCTCGAAGGGTAAGTCGGTTAAAGTGCGCTGCGGTTCCATTTCCAACGTTCGTTGCGTGCCTCGAAGAGAGCTTGCCGAGAGCTTCGCGCCAACTGAGCAATTGCAGGGTCAGTGTGCGAAACCAGAAAGAGAGAGGGAGATGGTGCGATAAAGAGACTAAGTGCGACTACATAAAATATAAAGAGAGAGAGAGATGCAGTTAATCTATATTGCATAAAGCTGTTCATCTTTATATCAGTTGCAAGTCAGAAGCTCATAGCACAGTGCATGAATCATTTCCGACCTTATAAACCATATAAATTCATGATCAGCATTGACAGACGAGCCGATTTAGGCATCACAGTTAGAAAAAAATCTTTACTATTATATATATTATATTTTATGAAGGGTTTCATCGTTAAAATTATACAAAATTAATAAATTAAAATGTTTAATTGAGTATCCAGATTTATTAACCTAATTAAAACTAACATAGCAAATCTTTCCAAATTAAAATTTTTGCTTTTTTGGAGTAGTTAAAAGTTTGTTAAGCATTGATTTGTCATCAAAATTTCATATAAAAAAAACGATAAATATTGTTATAATTCTTGTAATTCAATTCTTCCTATAATTCAATTTCAGACTGCTAAACTATATACACGTTGGCATCCCAAGTTTGTTAAATAACCTTTACACAAATAAATTAATTAAATAAATAAATAAATTACAAATTGTGTATTACTTTACAATAATAAATCACCAATTCAAAAATAAATACTTTTTAGAATAAATTAACCAAATACTTAATTAATACTTAAAAATGCTAAATTATTTATTCACAAATAAATAAATCACTTATGATTATTATCTAACCCTCTAACAAATTACTTAAGAGAGTCTCTACATTTACTGACATTTTTACTCAATCTAGATAAATATTCTTTACAAATTCTATATAAGTTATTATTTAATATTTAATTATAAATTATAATTCAAACAAATAATAATATTTCAAAGAAGTTCCAAGTCTAACCTACTCAAAGATTAGAAAGAAAGAGGTACCAACCGGATAAGGGATAAGAGGAGGACAAGTGGATTGAACTCAAATCCAGAGGGAACCCCAAAATATTCCCAGTGAGTCATTGACCGGGTCCGCCTACCTCCGCCTGCCTGCCATAAATAAAGGAAAATGCTACCACCTACTGTACCCCCTCGTTAGTGTCCTTGTCTCCCGATGAAAATTAGTTTCAATGAACTCTCTCTGTGCAGAGGCGACTGACTTATAGCACACTTTGTGCTTAGCTTTTTGGCCACAATCATCAGTTCAGGCCACGCACATTGACCCAGTAATTGGTTCGGGCTCTTAACCTTCTTTTTGGGTTTATTTTCAAAATTGATATGTGATTAAGTGGAGGTGGATGGCTTGTGTACATTTGCATTCGTTTGGTTATTGGTTTAGTCTAGAGCTAAAATAATAGCTTAATTATGATGCAAATATAACTAGAAACCTTTACAATTACATTATATATATGTATATCCTTGCTATGTCTTAATCCCTAAGTGGACAAGGACTTGTGTGTATATTCTGGCTGACCTTTTTGCAATGGCCATCATGGCAATGCCGAATTTCAGGACTTGCATGAGCGTGGGTGACACGTGTGTGCCATATATCCTTGCACTGCAATTGAGCGAATTGCGTTAAGCAAATTGTCAAGGAAATGCAAAAAGAGCCCTGAAATTAATCTGCCTTTCACCTTCAACCTCTAACCCCCCAATGTCTGGCACCCATACACAAACATATATATATATAGATATATAAAGGTATATATACATATATTCCAATGTCATTTGCAGAAGTTTTTGGCGGCTGCTTCATTGAACATGAGTCTGCAGGACACAGAGTTGTTAAGGATAATATTGTTTACTTGCTTTAATTATTTCTTATATTTATATGTCTTAAATATATTGTTTTTAAAGCTAAACTGTTGAAATATATTTTAAGTTAAGAATTTTAAGAGTTTTTATAGCATTTTAGAGTTGTGAGTATTTTTTTGATGAACTACTTTAACCCTATGATATCCCTGATAATTACAATTATTAAATTTAATTTGTTTTAATTTCTCAGCAAAGTTTTGCCACCACTATTGAGCTCTTCCGCCCCCACGCAGTTGAGGGACCTTGGCCATGAGGCACTTTGAGCCAAGGATCCGAATACACGAGACTGTTAGCCGTGGCAAGGACCCGACAAACGAAATGCGGAAATGCGCATGCCTGCGTGTCCTTGCCCTTGGTCCTTGGTCTGCGCCGGCCAGTGCAGTTGTAATGCTCATGGTGTTGTCGTAGTGCCCCTGAAATGATTTTAACCTTCGTGCAGCCATGTGGCATGTGCAGCATGTTGCAGCACCCAAACATGCGCTTTTGCACCTACGCTCTTTGCAGAGAGACTTCGAGAGAGAGAGAGTGCTCAGGCTGCATTATGATGGGTGATACCCTCCCCCCAGGACCTAGGGTAGTGGTGTTGTCTGGTTGCCCCTGCCACGTGCCGCCACGTTGCAAATTTCATGGCGCTGTCATTGACCATGATATTTGGCCGCTATATATATATATATATAAAGGAACCATAATCATAGTGGCTCCTGCCAGGGACACTGCCATGTCCTCGACGGGGAGGCTGCGGTGTCTAGCTTGGCCCTTAGGGTTCGGCGAGGTTAAATGATATTAATTCAGGGTTTCATTTGTTTACAATGAGCAAATATATAAACAGAAGGGGATGAGAGGGGTAATTTTGAAAAATCAGCTGGTTTCTTAGGATTTAAAAAGAGTTATTGATTAAGATAGATAGAAAAATAGATAGATGGAGAGTTAGAGAGATAGAGAGTTAGGGATATAGAGAGATAGCGAGATAGAGAGATAGAGAAATAGAGAGGTTGAGAGGTAGAAAGATAGAAATATAGAGATATAGAGATATAGAGAGATAGAGAGATAGAGATAGAGAGATAGAGAGATAGAGAGATAGAGAGATAGAGAGATAGAGAGATAGAGAGATAGAGAGATAGAGAGATAGAGAGGTAGAAAGATAGAGAGATAGGGAGATAGCGAGATAGAGAGGTAGAAAGATAGAGAGGTAGGGAGATAATGAGATAGATAGATAGATAAAGAGATAGATAGAAAGATAGGGAGATATATATAGATATATATAGAGAGATATTGAGGTAGAGATAGATTGAGAGGTTCTTTGTGCAAATAAACCTGTTAATTAATGTTTCCTAAAACAAAATCATAAACAAAATACACATTCCTCTAACAAATTATTAACTTTATCTACTAAAAGATCAAATATACAGCAAAATCACTTAATAAACTTACTCAGACAACCATAATGGGGTGTTTTCAAATCGCGTATAATAAGTTTTGTGAAATCTTAAGCTTCTCCTGGCCAAAAGGCACACAGAATCAAGGTTACAAGGCGCTGTGTCCGTAGAACTTACCCCAAATGGAATCGCAGACAAAGGGAAGCCAACTCCATTAGAGTGCAACCCCTGTTTGAAGTTGGCTAAAATCGAGGCTTTGTGGAGGAAGTATCTCGACCTTACCAAACAAAATGTAGCCCAGCAGTGAGTGTGTCTAGGAAACCACACCATTCCCTTACTCCATTTCCGCCAGGAGCTACATAGCTCCTTCTCGTCCCCCTGGAACGTCTGACTTCCACAACCCCCCTGAATGCGAAAGAGTCTGGAAGTTTGCTTTCATTTCGCTGCCCGAAGGGTTGCAACTCCAGGCAGACAGACGTGGGACAGAGATGCAGAGAAATCCCACCCACTCGGCGTATTTTTTGCAATTATTTTTAATTTCTGTGCTACGGACAACTCCCGGAATGCCAAAAAAAAAAAACACTTTTTGCAACCCCAAATAAAAGGAAGCAAGGAAAGGAAAAAAGGGGCAAACAATTCGAGACAGGAATGAACGCAGGACGCAGACCTGAGAACATGAATGTTCGCTTTGCGAAATATAGACTACAGTGGATAGTCCAATATAACAATTAATAGAATTAAATAAAAATTAAAGATTACCAAATTATATATGAAAAGTGAATATTTAAGTTATAATATTAATTAAATATAGTATATGGGTTAAGTATATATAAAATATGGGTAAAATCATGGAATTTATAAGTAATATGTTTTTGGTTTACTAAACTGTAATTTGTAACATTAAAGATCTTACAGTTTTTTTAAAACCTTTGCTGAAATACTGTCGTTTTTAATAATAATATAATAATAATAATTAATAATATAATATAATTAATATCGAGGTACTTATAGGAATAAGGGCAAGTATTAAATATAAGAAAAAATAAACAAAAATTATCCAAAAAGCATAAATTTAGGTTTTTTACCCTTTTAGCAGGCAACTTCTTGACATAAAAAACTATTGCCTACATTTTGGCGCTAGACAGGATTGCCTTGGAATCTGAATTCTCTTCTTAAGCTTTCTTTTACTAATTTCCTGTACTATTATCTTTAATAAATATATTACAAGAATTTATTATTAATTAAATAAATATTATATTTAATTAATTTTAATGAATATTTTATTATTTATTTATTTTTTATTCATTTATTAATTCCTCATCCCATGTAACGAGCTTTCACTGTAACGACTTCCATGTCCGCGTCTAAGTTCCACGGCCCACACGTCCATTGCACCCCCAATCGGCTTTGTACATTGACTTCTCTGGGCTACGCTTTGTTTTCTGCATTCGCTGCATGTTAAGCTCTCGCTTGGCTCTCTCTCTCTCTTTCTATCTCTCTCTCTCCGTTCAAGGCGGCTCTCTCTCCCTCTCTCTCTCTCTCTGTTGGTAAGCTTCTGCTCTCTCCCATACCACGACCTACCTTACCCACACCCACAGTGGGCTGCGTTTTCTGCAATCGCTTGTTCTACTGCTTCTTCCTCTTCTTCTTCTTTGGCTTCTGGCTTTCCCATGCACAACTCCCATGCGAACAGCGACGTCGACGTCGACAGCGCTGCTCGTTTTCATATTGAAAGTAGAATTTTTCACTTTTGCGAAAAATGTGGAAACTCAGAACGAGACTGGTCGGAACTCAGTCATTTTGACGACGTCATGTGGAACGCACCGTTGCGTTCCGTCTCCCAGTCGCGTTCTTCGTCTCCTTCTAACTCTTAATCTGTGCAATCGTCTTAACTTTCGTTTGTCCCAATAAAAAATAAAATATATTATTAAAAACTTAACAAACTTAATGTAAATCGTATCGATCGGTCTAGATACGAGCAATCCCTCGGATGCAGATGCATCGCAAGTATCTGTGGGATGCGCGAGGCGATTAAGTGAACCCTTTGTAAGTGAAAATGATACAGATATGCCATGAAAATCGGTGGGATTTCAGTGTTGTGAGAGCTTTGTGTGCCACAGATAAAAAATATATAAAAACGAAGATGGAGATGGTAAAATAAAGATCTAAAGTTTAACAATTTGCTGAAAAGTGAGACAAATTTGGAATTCTTTGAGTCAAGAACTCGTTTTTAAAACAAATCTTTGTCCGAAATGGAATTACAACCAATAAAAGGAATAATTAAACTGGAAACTTAACAATTTACAGGACTTTTCTTTAAATGGTCACCAATTAAATGAAATATTATAAAATTTCAATTTGAAATAAATATAAAATTAAAAATTAATGTAAAATCGTGGTTATAGAAATAATGAATTTAACTAGGGTTTAACTATAAGTGCCAAAAAGGACTTTTAAACACATTTAGATTGTAAACTTAATATGATATCAAAGAAAAAACCAAACAGTTGAAAAACTGGGAAAATTATTATAATCAATACAAAAGAAACTATTTAATGAATGAATAAAATACTTCATAAATATTTTGCCAAGTTCTATTAAAAAAGAGTGAACATTCACAACACTTAACATTTTAACATTTATTTTCGTTCAAACCAACGTTGAATAAAATAAAGTATAAATTAATAAGACAGTGTTAAAGTGTACAAAAATTTAATAGTGTTTTTCGAATCATAGCTATAAATGTTTCAATAAAAAAAATACTAAACACACTTAAAAATAATAAAAAAAACTTCAAAAAAGCTTCATATTTGAGACTAAAACCCGGATTAAAAAAAGAGATACAAAAAGATACATGAAAAATACTTCCCCTTGACCTTTCACTCTCGGATTTGACTTGTAACTAATCCTTCAATTATATATTGAAACTCAAAAATCATCAACTATTAAAATCGCAATTGAAATCCTGCTTCCCAGCCCCCTTTTGTGGACCCCATTCCTCCAACTGTCTGACTCATTCCACTTGGCCCGTAACTTCGTCTGGAGTTGCAACCCTCATTAGATCCGGAGCCACACCCCTGCAAGTGCCTCCCCCCCTCATCGGTCTCCTTGCAACTCCGCAAAAATGCAGATACTCCAAAAAAGCTGAGCGGAGAACTATATATGGCGGCAGAGTATCTACAGAGCGATAACAGTGCGCTGCTTGCTCAGCTGTAGACGCTCTGTTAGGCTGCTGCTGCTGCTGCTGCTGCTGCTCTAGCCTTGCCTTGGTGTGGGTGAACTTGAACACGCACACGTGTGTGTGCTCTCGTTCTGGTTCTCTCTCGTGCTCTCCTTCTAATCGCGCTCTGCTCTCTGCCTTACTCTCTCCGGCTCATTTCATTCTATTTCAAGTTCTTATTTTGCAATACAAGTACAAAAAGCACGCCTCTGTTGGCGTTCAGTGTTAAGGTCAATACATTTGCCGCCTTTCAATGGGGCTGTGTGTGTGTGTGTTTGGGGTTATTTTTTATTTGCGGCCTATGTGTGTGTGATGCACTTGAAATAAAGAGAAGTGAGTGGGGATATTTGAGATTTTGTATTCAATAAATAAGTTTTAACTAAAAATATTTATTATATTGTGACTTGTGCACTATTTTTAATAATTTAAATATATTTTGTTGCAAATTTTAATTAATATTTTAATGCTAATGAAGTGCTTTAAATTTGGTATAAAACTCTTAATAGGAGAGTATAGATTTTACTTTAACTTATATTTTTGCTTTAAAAAGAAATGTAATAAAAATTAAATACATATTGCTCTTACTTTTTGATATTTTAAAATTGCATACTTATATATAAATTATTATTACTACAAAATATGTCTATTTTCTAAATTATATTTCTAAAGATCATTGAAGATTTAAATTACTTGACTTACATTTTCAATTGCTATCCTTCTCTCTTCTCTTCTTTCTTTAAGAACTTGATTAGAATATTAGTTTTTAAACCCCAACCCCTTTTAAACTTAAATTCAAAATATTGAAGACGTTTTTTAAGTATAATAATTAATATTTTCCCTCTGTAAATTTCCACTTGGTTGCCCCCGGGTTTGTGAGGTTATATTTTTGTTTGTTGATTAGTCTGCTATTGAGTGTTGTTGCCATGCACACTGAATGTCAGCGTTGCCTCTGCCGCTTTTGCAAATAGCGGTTTATTTTGCTGCACAATGTTATTGTAATTGTTGTTGTTGCTTTTATTTTGGAGGTCTTTTCCACTGACGTTTGCGGAAGCTTGCGTTTGGCACGATGCATCATCATCGCTCTATCTCATGGCGTTACGGAAAATGCATTTTGCTTTTCACTTGACTTTTCGTAGAAAACAATGTCACATGTTTTGCGGACAGGTGACCGAGTGAAAGTGAGCGAAATTATGCGATTTACATGACTATTAATGGGGTTAAGCAAGGTTGTGACTTTAAGTGATTATCCTTCCTTTTAAAATGGAGTTTGGAAAATATTTTAAGCTTCTAAATAAAGTCAAGTGCTTATTCTTTTTATATTCAAGTAAAAATATTTAATTAATTAAAAATTTTAACTATTTTGCTCTTGTAATACAATCAAGAATACCCAAAAATCAAAGAACTTTCCTGTCCAATTTTGAGTATTCATTACATCCTACTCTACACTCCACTTGTTCCATCCATTACGTACCGACCAAACCTACCTCAATGCGTAACCCTGCCCTAACCCAGGAAAATTCAGCTCAAACCCCAGGGAAAAACCCACTTCCCCTGTCCAGGAATCTCCCCCCGGCACGCACATATTACTCATACGCACCCGAAACGCGGAAGTTGAGGCCCAAAAAAAAGAAAGAAAACGCAACCCCCCAAAGCAAAACAACAACCCTTAGAAACTCCATGAAAAACTCCCCCATTGAAATGCCCCAGTCCAGAATTTGTTAACCCCCCTCACACACACAGCAGAAGGGAAAAAGAAGACGAAGAAAGACATAAAAGAAGCTAAAAAGCATTATTATGTGCGTCTTTTGCTTTTGTCTCATTCGCATTTATTTTTGTTTATTTATGTTTTGCTTGTATTCTTCGCCTTCGCGCCTTTGCTTCCTCATACGCAGACGCTCTCTCCCTCTCTCTCTCTCGCTCTGTCTTGCTCTCTTTGCTGATTTCCGTTCACTCCTGCTCATTTCCTCTCATTTTTCACACGGTTTTCACTTTCGTTGTGCAGCTTTTTCACCGACAGAGAGAGAGAGAGAGCACACAGTGAGAGAGAGAGATACATCGACCGTGAGAACCCGTTGGCTCTCCTTAGGTTCTGTTCTGTCTGGCTTTCGGCAAAACGAAGCTTTTGCACAGTCGAGAAAGTACGGCCAACGCAACGGTTTGCGATATATATATTCCAGCCAGAGCCAGCCGCGATTTTAGCAGAGCGCAAAAAAAAACAAAATCAACACACACACACACACACACACACGGAAAAAACAGCTGAGAAAAGCCAAGTGAATTTTACAATTAACAAATTAAAGCAAGGAAATTTTGTGCTATTAAAAAAAAAATGTGCAATAATTATGGGACAGCGTCGGGCTGCCTTACATAAGCCATAAAGCGGTAGCCCACCACCCGCCCTCCCATTGTCAAGGGCGCCAAAGTGTGGGCCACATTTGAGCCGTGACCGTGGCCGTAACCGTTGCCGTACTCGTGTCCCGTATATCGTCGCCGTCGCCGCATCGCATCGGGAGCGTCCTCGTCCTCGTCCTCGTCCTCATCCGCGTCCGCGTCCTTGTCCTTGTGCAGGCCGCGAACAGCTGCTTGGGTCCTTCTCTCGTGTCCTTGTTCTAGAACCGAAAGTCCTCCGCAAAAGCATAAACCAAAAACCAACAACAACAACAAAATAAAAATAATAATATCTGCTAAACCGCCTCCCCAGCTGTTGCTTCCCCCCTTTACCCCGTCTAAGCCGACCCTCAGCTGTGGGCCAATTATTCGAGTGAAAAAAAAAATATATATATAAATATATATATGAAAATGTTGGAAAATCAGTAAAAACAGCTGTGGCATTCCAAGTGTAGGATATAATGTGTTTTACAATGTGTTTCAATAAGCTGTTCCTAATAAACAAATACGGCAAATATTTGCCAGGCACAAAGGTCAAAAGTCAGCAAAGACAAGTGTAACAAAATAATAATAAAAAACAACAACAGCAAATCAAATTCAAAATCAAAGAAAATTCAAGTGAAAAAAATAAAAAGATCTTAAAGTGAAATTAAAATTCAAAGTTGGCAATCTATCAAAGCTCCTACAACGTCCCCCAAAAATAACAAAAGCTTAAATAATAACCATAAATATATAAATATATTTTTCTAGAGGTGTTTAAAAAATAAAAAGAAAACTTCCCAGGAAGAACATAAAACGGAAATCTAAATTAAAAAAAAGCTAAAGAAAATCACTGCTCAGGTTTAATAAAGAAACAAATTTGTAACAACAAGTTTATAACAGCGTTGTGTTTCATGTGCAAAATCTATAATAAATAAATAACTCATAAATACACATATATATATTTTTGGAATAAAATACTAATTAATATATCTTGTGAATCGTGTATAAAATTGTGTAAATAAACAAATTAAAAGGTTTAAACTTTATACACTCACACACCCCAAAATACGATCATCAAATATAAATATATATTCTTATACATATTATTCAACGATTTTAATCAATCAATACATCAATCAATTCAACAATCAATCGATATACTTCAATTTGCAAATAAAGTGAGTTCGAAACTTGACATGTTTTTAGGATGATTTTTATGGAATTTATATAATTTTTTAACAGCTACTTCAAGGAAATACCTACAAAACATACTCAGCCGCTGGTGGTGTGAATCGAACGGAGCATAAATCAGCAAAACAATAAACCATCAAGTATTATTAGCAACTAAAATTAAACTCAGACTCGGAATTCAATAATTCATTCAAACTCAACTCAGTCGGAACTCATTGTCATTGTCAACGGAAGAAGCCTCAACCAGAATATAGCAGAGAAGATAAAGATATATATTTATATAGATATATGGTAAGGATCGGGCAAAACGCTAAGCTACAACTAAGGACTAAGGACACAACCAAGAAAACTCTCTAGGATACAATAGCATACAGAAATACAAAAAGGACAAACTTTTCATGCAACTTTGAAGGCTGACGAAACAAATATTTTGATAATCCTGAAAAACCAGAAGAAAACTAAAACAAATTACAAATTACCACAACAACAGCAACAACAAAAGCGTTAAGAAGAAGAGACTGATTTTAAACTTAAATAAAAAAGGAGTAAGCAAAGAACAGGATAAAACAGCAGCAGTGAGGCAAAAGTGATTCAGGATCAAATCCACAAAAAAAAAAACAAAACAAAAATCAAGGCAACAAGCAACAACTCTTTCCATACAACAAACAAAACATATTTAGTTTATATCTAAATATATAAAATATTTATATTTTTTGGGCGACTTTCACGCGTTTTTCTTTTTGAATAAAAACATCATGTTGAAGAAACTCAAGTGCATGGAAGCAGTCCAGGCAGCAGCTGCCGCTGCCTCGGGCTCCTCCTCCTCCTCTGGACCGGGATCATCCTCGGGTTCCAGCTCCAAATTGATCAAAACCGAGCCCATCGACTTTGAGATGCTGCATCTCGAGGAGAGCGAGAGGCAGCAGCAGCAGGATCTAGAGCGGGAAAGGGAGCGGGAACGGGAAAGAGAACCCAGCAGCAGTGCCTCCCAAGTACCCCAAAGATACACCCACGTTCAGGTCCAAACTGTGCCGCCACGTCAGCCCACAGGTTTGACCACACCCGGTGGCACCCAGAAGGTCATTCTAACTCCCCGTGTGGAGTATGTGCAACAAAGAGCCACCAGTTCCACGGCTGCTGCTGTCAAGCATATCTACACATCACAGCAGCAACAGCAGCAGCAGCAACAAGTGCGATCTATGCCTCCAGAGGGAACAGCTCTGCTGACCACCGCCTCTGGATCTACTGGCGGAACGCCACAGATCATCATAACCCGCACCCTGCCCTCCAGTCAGCATCTGTCGCGTCGCCACTCGGCGAGTCCTTCGGCCCTGCATCACTACCAGCAACAGCAGCAACAACAGCAGCAGCAACAGCAGCGGCAACAGGTGTCGCCTCCGCCGTTGCACCACCAGCAACAGCAGCAGCAACATGTACGAGTGATCCGCGATGGCCGTTTGTACGATGAAACCACTGTGGTGGTGGCCACCAGACGACATTCAGTGTCACCACCACCGCTGCACCACCACTCCCGATCGGCGCCCGTTTCCCCGGTGATTGCCAGGCGAGGGAACCCCAACTACATGGAGCAGCAGTATCAGCAAAGACAGACGCCACCATTGGCGCCACCACCGCCTCCTCCACCGCCACCGCCGCCACCACCACCACCCCAACAGCAGCAGCAACAACAGCAATATATCTCCACTGGAGGACCACCACCCACGGCGGCTGCTCGCAAGTTTGTGGTCAGCACCAGCACGCGACATGTGAACGTGATTGCTGCCAATCATTTCCAGCAACAGCAACAGCAACAGCAGCAGCAGCAACATCATCAGCATCAGCAACATGTGATTGCCAGTGTTAGCTCCAGCAGTGGTTCACCCAGTGGCTCCACCAGCTCCTCTTCTTCTGCGCACATCTTTCGCACGCCAGTGGTGTCCAGCTCTAGCTCTAACTCCAGTTCGAGTGCCAGCAGCAACATGCAACATCACCACCACCACCAGCAACAGCAACAGCAAGCACAGAATCTGGGTAGCTCGGTGATGCGGCCACCACCGCCACCGCCACCACCCAAGGTCAAGCATGCCTCCAGCTCCAACAACAATAATAGTAGCAACTCCAACTCCAACTCCAGCAACAGCAGCAGCAGCAACAATTCCAGCAGCAACGGCGAGGAGCCTTCCAGTTCGATTCCTGATCTAGGTAAGTCTCTCATTCCCTCACAACTCGAACTGTT